CAGCCCATTCCCTGGGTCCTGTCCCTGGGCCCAGAGAGAAGAGCTCAGAGCTGTCCCTGCACTTCCTTCCCTGAGGGAGTTGTCCCAGCCATGAGCTCTGTGCTCAGTCTCCTCTTCTCCAGCTGAACAGCCCAAGTGCCTCAGCCACTCCTCATGTGGCTTCCCCTTGAGGCTCTTCACCATCTTCGTTGCCTCCTTTGGACACTCTCCAATAACTTAATATCTTTCTTACATTGTGGTGCCCCAAACTGCTCACACTGTTCCAGGTGAGGCTGCCCCAGCACAGAGCAGAGCAGGACAATCTCCTCCCTCTGGCCATGTCTTTCCTGATGGCCCAGGACATGATGTCCCTCCTGTCTGCCAGGGCACACTGTTGACTCATATTCAACTTGCCATGGACAGGAGCCCCCAGGTCCCTTTCCAGCAGTACCTTCCAGCCTCTCATTCCCCAGTCTGTAGGTACAGACAGGGTTGCTCCATCCCAGGTGCAGAATCCAGCACTTACCTTTGTTAACATCATGTGGTTGGTGACTGCTCAGCTCTCTAATCTGTCTAGGTCTCTCTGTGAGGCCTCTCTGCCTTCGAGGGAGTCAACAGCTCCTCCCAATTTTATATCATCTGTGGATTTACTCAAGACCTGAGTCCAAGTCATTTATGATGTTGAAGAGCACTGGGCCTAAGGTAGACCCTGTGAAATCCACTAGCAACTGGTACCAGCCTGATGGAATTCCATTCACTAAAACCCTTTGCATCCAATCCATCAACCAGTTGCTCATCCAGCACATAGAGTGTTTGTCCAGTTTTGTGCTTGACATTTTGTCCAGAAGGATCTTGTGAGAGACAGTTTTGTTTAGTGCCAGGCTATTTCAACATACTTGTATAACCCATTCCTTCATATAACTTATTGAAGTAATAAGCATGTGTGCACACATGCACCTTTATATGTGTGTGGTTATAAATAATACTTTAGCATTGCTCATTAACAAGTAAAAGCTTCTGTTTTAACCAAATATGCCCCCAAAGCAACATTTTTGACAAGCTTCTCAATAGCAGACATCATGAATACAAAAAGATTAAGATAATCATACTGCTAAATTAACATTTTCGTTCTTTCTAGCAAAATTAATGCAGTTGGGTAAATGAAAAACCTACATCTAAAAGCCAAAAAAAAAAGGATTTGTGAAGAAAAATAGATGGCTGAAAATCATTACACCACTGGGGAAAAAAAGTGTTTGTAAAGGTGATTTTCCATGCCAGAAAAGCAAAGCTAACTATATCCCTAGGCATATAAATTGGATGTCTGAATTTATGGTATATGTCAGCCACAGTTTGGGGAGCTGGAGATCTGCACTGGAGAGGTATTAAATACACTCTGTTTTCACAGACTACCTCTTTTATTTCATTAAGAGGCTCTCTTCCAATATTCTTTCTAATTAGTATGAACCAGCACAATCTGTCAAGCAAAACCCACAGTATGCAATAAAATATGCATACCAGCATGCTCAAGAAGCAAAATTGAAATGATCAGTCAAGCATTGTGCTGGCATCACACTGGAAGACCTCTATTGCTTTGCCAGCTCTGCTTTGATTTGAGGTTCAATGGAAATGCTGAATGATGAATAGTAAGCTGAGATTTCTCACCACATGACTAGATGAGTTGCAAGTAAAATGTGGAACCTGCAGTAACTCTGTGTGCTAGTGTGAGTTAAAATGTTGTTTGGGTTTAATGTTTCAATGATTGTAGAAATTACTCAATATAGATATTTTCTTTATGCATTGGAATGTATGTATGTGACTAAACAGCTTCTGTTCATCTAAACTGTGGGTTTCAGGCAGCTCTAGACCCTGGAAAAAAAGGTTTGGGTCAATCCCAACTTCTGATGGATAAGCAAGAACTAAAGGACTTCTACCAAAGCAGGTCCCTTACAGTGCAGGCTGAGCTCAAACAAATCCACCCTTCAGCACCCATCACAGTCTGTTTACCAAACAGCTGAAGTCTTGCCCCACGTTTGAAGCAAAGAACAACAAAGAAGTGTGTGAGGAAATTAATTTTAACATCATATTTATATAGGTAAAATTATCAACAGCCTCTGCACTGAAGAGACTCCAGCCATGAAGGATTTACAACAGTGGAAAGACATTTCAAGTCTCAGTTGCCAACACTGTAACACACTCAGTTCTCTGTATTAGTCAACACTTGATGTCTGTGCAGACTCACCCAGTATTGTGTAAGAGCAGACAAATTAAACATTTCTGCATGCAAAATGTAACTATAAAAGTACTTACATATCTGGTTTCACGCCCAGCTGCTCTCTGCAGTGTCGATGACACCTTGTAAAAAATAAATAGATGCATAATAGATACACTGAGTTACTCTGATGAGTAACTCAAAGAGATTTTCATCATTGTGACAAGTTATGAATTGCTCAAATTCAGGAAAACCTAACTTTTCCAGAAAGATTCACCTGATACCTGAGAATAAGGTACATTTTAGTTGTGATTGTATGCTTGCTGTAGAAAACACTACTTAATTTTCAATGCTCAAAAGCATTGATCCCACCCCAAGGATGGCATCTAAGTTATGCTTATTAGTAGATAGCCATAGCTGTGGTTGCCCCATAAAATTTAAGTTACATTTGCTCACAAAATAATGTGCAATGTTACCTTTACATGTTCTCATTTGTAAGAACCTGCTTTCATTTTCCATGGTATTTCTAGGGTACTTAAAACACACACTCTTTTTTCCTTCATGTCTATGACTTTCTTTTGCACTCTGTTTAAGCACTTTGTCCTCTCATTCTGAGATCCTCACAACCTTTAGCTTGTTCCCTATGCTGCATCCTGCTAAACTCACCTTCTTCCCCCTTTATTTGGTTTCATGACTGTTACCAGATGTCCTCCATTTGGTCACAGCTCGATCCTCAATTGCCCAATGAAGTAGGTTTTGGATGCTATAGCTAAACTTAGTAGCAGCATTTTAATCACTTCGTGCTCTTCAGGCATTGGAAAACACACTGTTAGTAACAGTGTGTACCTCCTTCAGCTGCCATTGCATTTCTGTCTTTCAGCCTCCTGAAGCCCAATTCCCCAGTTGTGATGGACAGAAGTAATTTCAGACTTGAAAAGTAAATTTGAAGTGTATATTGAATGCAGCCACTCAAAAATGCTGGATCTGTGCCCTCTGTTTGCATGGTGGACTGGACATCCTGCAGGATCTCTCGATTGCATTAACTTCTAGACGTGTCCAGCTGCTTAAAAATTCCTTTCCTTCCATTTCCAGTTGGACTTCTGCCATCTTCACTTTCCTGTAGCTACCAGGACCAACTTAAATTTACCTGGGGCAAACTGAATACAGGCCCTGCTTCCATTGGTTAGTCATCCTTCTGAACCCAGAAGGCACAGCAATATAACTTAACGAAACCAGAAGTTTAGAAATAGAAAATTAACCCTGCCTCTCACCACCTTTTCCTTAGTTATCCAGGATAAACAGATGCTGCAGATGTCCTCGGTCTGTGAGGAGCCAGAGTTAAAATTAACTCAGGACTTTAGAGCAAGTTGACGACAAATTTACTTATCCCATTATTTGAAAATAAATAATCACCATGAAGAAAACTCAATGTTCTGAAAGATGCTTCCAGTCATTGAAGCTAGAAACGTTGGTTCCTCTGCAGTAAGGACACATAGATGGAACAAAATCTGGGAAATGTCCAGACTTCCTGCAACATGGAAGGAATATTCCTTCCTTGTGGATTCTAGACTCTGCAACCTTAATACACAGTGTCTCCTTCATAATAGGATACCTTATGACTTCAGGAAAGCATCCTGCAAAACAAAGACTGTCTCCAAGGCTACAGTTCATAGAACCATAGAACCACCAAGGCTGGAGGAGACCTCTAATAACAAGTCCAACCATTAACCTGTCACTAAACCAGATCCTCCAGTGCCACATCAGACACCTCTGAAACACCTCCAGGGATGGTGACTGCACCACCTCCCTGGGCAATATCCCAGTGCTGAACACCACAACAGGGAAAACATTTCTCCTCACATCCAATCTGACTCTGCCCTGGCTCAGCTCAAGGCCATTCCCTCCCTCCTCTCCCTGCAGCCCTGGCAGGACAGACATTCTCCACTTCTCTCCAACCCTGTCAGGGAGTTGTAGAGATCCAGGAGGTCACCCCTGAGCCTCTTCTCAAGGCTAAACAAACCCATTTCCTTCAGTCCTTCCATGTCTTTTCATGTCTTTTAAACCACCAGACACTTCTGGTGTTGCACCTCAGTTGCAGTTTTCTGTTGCCATAGGTTTTACTGTTGCAATAGGCTCTACTGTGACTTTGCTTGCCTTGATACCTCTCTGGAAAGAGCTCTTGGTGTGTGGGTGAGCTTATCCACCTACCTTGGCAGCATCTGACTCCGTGCTCATCTGCAGAAAACTCGGAGAAGACTCACATCGGCGCTGGAAAATTATTTTCAACAGAGAATGGACTTATTAATGACAAGGTATGAAAGGAAAAGAAGAGAAAAAGTCAATCTCACACACTAATGGGTTACCATAGTCAATGGGTCCTGCAGGACTTGGTCTATGACAGCACATAGCTCTTCTGTTTGTTGTCTGAGCTGGGCAGGGGAGCACATCTGAAAAAGGAGGATGGATCTCACTCAGTTAACCTGTGCTTTTTGTTCTCAAACATAGGTCTGGAAAAGAAATAACAGCACTACCTCTGAATGAGTGTCTGCAGCAGTGCCCTGGGTCACACCAGCAGGGTTGGTTGGCTCTTCTAACGCCTGCAATGCAAGAGATGTTGGTGTGACACTGAGTTCAACCTTTAAAAACCCAAGCAAACATACACTTTTTGCAATCCTGTGCTTCCAAAGCTAGCACTTTCTGTTTCTCCATGGAAAGATTGGAGAAAAACAAAATTACAGGCCTAGTAATGTTCTTCATGTTGCCAGCTTTGGATTCTGAGTTAGAGGGGTGTTTGCAGTGAGATATTATTCAAGCAGAGTGAATTATCTCTACTTTTAGAAATCAGATCCTACCAGTTTAGATTATCTTCTCCTTCTATAATGCCCTGTCCTTCACAGTAAGTGTGACATGGTGAGAGCTCACCATGTGCCACAGAGGTGTCAGGGGCTGCCTGACATGCACTGTTGGAGGAAAGACACCAGCTGTAAGCTGGTGGACAAGACATTCTTGGGCTTTAAGCCTGAAATCAGAATTGTATAAAGTGAAATACATTCTATGCACCTGTGATATCACACTGAGCAGGTATGCAATCTCTCCAAAACAAAACACAAGCTTCCTGCCCTTGGATTTACCTCTTGCTTTGCTATGTCTGTACTTGGAGCAGGTTTGAGAAAAGGGAGAGTCAGTTTGCTGGTCTCTTGACTTGAACAGGAAACTCACAAAACACCCTCAAAAGCCAAAATCCACTGCTCAGTTCCCTTTTCATCTTCATCCAGCATCTGTGAAGCACATTCTCCCTGCCATCACCCAGTTCTCCTTTGAAGAGATTTTCAAATAGACACCATGCTGAGACCAAAAATTACTCTGGAAGCCTGATAATGTGTGAAGTTGGACTACAGGGGAGGGACCCACAGGGTTTGTGGATTTTTTTGGTTTAACACATTATGGTTTTGTGAGGTTTCATTTTGCTAGTTATTTAAAAAAGAAAAATAGAATAAGAGAAAACAAGGACATTCCAGTAAAGCACATTGTCATGCATGTGGGATTCTGTGGGAATGGACTGATCCCAGTGAGGTGGGAATGAAGACTGTCAGATGCAGAAGACATATACTTAAATACTTATTTCTGAGTTTAATTTTACTGAGTATATCCTTGTCTAGCCACTGGCAGAATACATCTGTATATGCCTAAGTGAAAAGTTAATGACAATTTCCTTTTAATATTATTTTACTTCTACCATTATTCTAATGACCTTGCACAGAAGCACATTTTTGAACACGATGTCTTCCACTAAAACAAAAAGCAGTTGCCTTCCAAAGAGATTTCTTCCCTCCTCTCCATCTCTAGACAAATGTGCTGGCCTTAGAGCAGTTGTAGTTCAAAGGGTAAAAAGAGAATGATTCACTTTCACATACAGAAATGAATGGAATCTTATCCCAAGAGATACAATGAAAAGATAATTGGTCTCATCTGTGCTGTCTCATCACTCTTACCCAGCTAAAGCTTCAACATTCTGTTGAAGAGGAGGGCTCAGCACTAGAATGATTCACTTTCACATACAGAAATTAATGGAATCTTATCCCAAGAGAGACAATGAAAAGATAAATAGTCTCATCTGTGCTGTCTCATCACTCTTACCCAGCTAAAGCTTCAACATTCTGTTGAAGAGGAGGGCTCAGCACTGCACTCAACTGTGCCATAGAATCATATCATTTTGGGGGTTGGAATGGACCTTAGAGCTCACCCAGCCCCAAGCCCTGCCCTGGGCAGGGACACCTCCCACCAGAGCAGGTTGCTCAAGGCTCATCCAACCTGGCTGTGAACACTGCCAGGGTTGGGGCAGCCCCAGCCTCCCTGGGAAACCTGGTTCAACTTCAGTCAAGGAAACATCCTCCTGGTAAATATGAAATGAAGTGATAAAATTAAGTAGAAGAGTCATTTCTGTACCTATTAGGGTCAGGATTGACCAAGCAGCCTGTTGTAGAGAGATGATGATTCTGAATGTGAGTTAGGAAGAGCAAAACGTTTTAATCAATTATGGGTTTGGAATGGGGAAATTGCTAAGCTCCTCAAAACCCTCAAGAAACCTGTAGGATAATAAACACAATAAAGGAATTGTTAAGGAAAAAAACCCACGTTTCTGTTTCTTGTTGACTGCACCCGGGTATTGGGGAGGGTGAAAGCAATCAAGAGTAAGAAATTACTATCCAGAAGATTCAGGGGAATCTTTCTAGGGGAATTACAGCCACATCCACAGGTGTCTGTTCGGAGCCAAGTCTCTGGCAAATTTAAGTACCAAAAATCCATCAGTTTCAGTAGAAATTGGGTACCCAAATATCTTTCCATTTTGGAGCCTTCAGTGACTAAAGAAGTTGGGTGAGCAGAGCACCAAAGATCTAAGGTACAACTATCATATAGGAGCCATGCTATAAAAAGCAGCAGTGTCCTCTCTTTTTGGACCTGTGGGTCCCTTCCTTCAGGAAAGGAATATTTTAATCTTCAAAGTGATCAGTTTCATCTGGTTTTTTTTCTCTTTTTTTTTTTTTATTTGAAGAGCTGTGTCCTCCAAAGAAAGGTAAAAAATAGGAAACTATATTTTTGGTATCCCTGTGACCTCTACAAAGTTAAAAGATTCTGTTTAATCTGTTACTAGCTTTTCAAAATACATCTCAAATTTTTTTTACAGCATTGCCCTTTATTTTCACATTTCCATATAGAGAAAAATTTGAGATGAAAAAAAGTGTAACTAGTTTTTTCCCCAAATTACTGCTGTTATCATGCAACAATGTCATGATTAATTTAAAGTATTAGTGCTGTCTATATACTGTTGATTAGCACTAACAACAGCATTCAGGATTTGTTTCTTATGCTGAAGGTCTAACAATATTAAAAGTGGAACATTCTTATTTAGACCTTTAAATTTCTGATTATATAGGAAACAAGAGAGGGATCACAATTTAAAAGGAGATTGCAATGTAGAGGATGAAAATGTATTTGCGACAGGATTAAAATGTTCAGATGAAATAACCAATTGCTGAACCACTAATTCTTTCTTTGCAAAGGACAACTTTGGGGGTGTGATGCATCTCTGCCATTGACATCAGTGATGACTACAACCCTTCCCTCCTCTTTCCTCCCTTTTGATTGCTAAAGCTGTTTCAGAGCTGACACGATAGTGGCAAATCATCTGAACACAGTACACAGTATTTTGTTAGAAGGATGAAAGGTCTTACCAATGTATAGGAAATACAGGACATTATTTCATCCACCAATGAACCACATCAATAGTAGGAGAAAAAAATGAATATTATGACCTGGATCTGATGCTGGGTTTTTTTCACTGTATTGTGAAAACTTTGGATTGAGCGTATTTTTCCCATCATTATCTTTTCCTAAGCCCTCAGCACATTAAAAAAAAAAAATCCCTTTGTATAATGGAACTTCATATACCATTAATTCCTTTAACTTCTTTCTTGAAGATCCTGGGAGATGATACTGAAAAGACCTGCCTATTTTTCCTCTGATAAAACAGTGAATAGTAAAAGCTGCAAAGCCCATGAAAGAAAGAGGGAGCTCAACATCAGCACATTTGGTTATTATTGTGGATGAACTATGTCCTTTATCACTCTGCAGCTGCACAAATTGTTGCCTTTCTTACCATGAAGTATTATCTCTATCCTTGAGAAGCATTTTGATGCGAACACATAATCTGAATGTAAGAAATTCACGTACCAGAAGTACCTGGGGAGAATTAAAATCTATTTTTACCAACATATTCTCAATAAAGTCTTGTCAGAAATGGTTTCCATGTCCAGAAATTTCCTGATGTGCCTGATAATGGCCAATTATCTAGCAGTGAGGTCAACTGTCTGAGAGTGAGAGAAATTAGCTTCCAGGTTCCTGCTGTATGATTTCAAGGAGCAACTTGGATCTGCGTTTGCCATGACCAGTTAATACGCCAATGGATGTTTGATGATACAGTAAGAGATTACTCAAGGCATGAACTTAAAGTTGGGTCCTCACTGTAGCAGAACCCTGCCATAGTTCCTCAGTTGCACTTCTTTCTCACTGTAGCAGAACCCTGCCATAGTTCGTCAGTTTTTCATTAAAACAAGCAAACAAACAAAAAAAAACCAACAAAACTAATGCACCCTCTTTTTCCTTCTGCATGAGGAGGAAAATGCCTTTGTTTTTGACTCCACAAGGAGAATATCCTTCACTGCTTATAGTCTGCTTTGAAAGTGATAGAATGCAATTACTAGGTCTTTGGAGATTTCCTAGACATGTAACAAAATGTGGAAAGACTGTTCCAGATTCTCTTAAAGTTAGCTCCATTGCATTGGTGAAGAGAAAACATGAACAGTCATAAACAGACACAATCAATCACCTGAAATATTTAGTCCTTAAGACAATAGATTTTTCTTCTACACTTTAGAACTGAAATTATCATTCTCTACTTGACCTTAGCTGATAAATAGAAGCCAAATAAGTCAACATTCTTCCATCCTTAAGCACTTCTTCCAGTTATCCCTAGTGTTTTCCAGAAGGCTTGGTAAGTGTGGCATAAGCCTCAGCTGTGAAGCAGGTGTGTTTCATAGAATCATAGAATGAACCAGGTTGGAAGAGACCTCAAAGATCA